GTAATATTCCTAAAGGAGACTTTAACTTTTACCAAAGTAATATTTTGGATACTTGTACTTTTACCCATGTATCACTTTGTGGTACTTTATACAACACTGCTGATCCCTCATATTAACCCAAAGACCCTTATTTGGCGCAACCCAGAAAAGCCGCGGGCGTGAATAACTGACGTGAGGGGAGTACTGAACCYGGCAAAACTGGAAGCAAACCTGACCAAGTCACTCGGGAGTGAGAACACGGTGCCTTATTTCTTTACACTTTATCAAAACAATGCCAACTGTAAAAGCAACTTGTTGCAAGTTTGTGTGCAGCTATTCCATACTTTTTCAAAATTTAAATTTCAACTCCTAAACCTCTTTGATCACACAAGTGAATACAAGATGTTCTGGGCAGCTCAAACTTTATATCAACATTTCATCTGTGTTTGTTTGTTTTGTTTTGTTTTTTAGAAGAAAATGCACAATTCCAGTATAAATGTTATTAAAAGCCAAGAATTCCTTAAAATGCAAATGTTCTGCTGTCTTWCATGAGACGTAAACTGGCGTCATCCTGTGCTGAAAAGACAGAAGACACACATTCTGCGTGACTGCACRAGTCACGGCGAACCAAAAAGTTACCTTCAGTGACTCGCAATTTGCAAATAAAAAATATGTAGCTTTGATAATGCTAAACGTGTGTCGCGTCTTCACCTCCTTCCAGCTGAAGACTGGTGGGACAGACACAAACCTGTTGCTGTTAGACAGTTAGCTGTCAGCAGATGTAAAAGTTGTCATAACTTAATTTAGTGGAAGCTAMTTGGTTCGCTGATGGTTTTCAAAGTTAGTGGAATAAGCTAATACGCTAAACGAAAAACTTGCTGAGCTGATTGCCATGCCCACCACTGCATGACATGAAATCTTTCATGATGAGTCTAAAACATACATATTAGGCCTCCCTTGCAAAAGAGATCCATGATCTCCTGCTTAAATAAAATAAATCTTCAGTGATGTGTTAGCACKTGGAGTATGTGTTGTGGAACTCCCTCAGTTACAACCGTGCCAGATTTTAGCTTTGTGTTTTTACAGTTGCTTAGCTGTGGCAGCCATCTTCAACTGGGATGACTCCAAAAGCGAATCAATTGCACATCTGACCATTACTTTCTGAGTTGCCATAAAATCCATCGTGTGTTTCGTGAGATATTTTGCTAACAGAACAGAAACGCAAGCAATCGCATGGCTTTAATAATCACTAAATACAACCTCCTAACATTAGTTGTACCGGTTTACTCTCCACTCAGGCGGTATAAATGTCACCAACGCTCCATCGTTTCTCCAGAACTTCAGACCTTTCTGTGACTCAAAGCTCCTGGCAGGMGAGGAGGTTTGTTACGGAGGTGTTCGAAACAAGTTTCAGCAGTTCACGTTGGCAGCAACACGCTAAGAAACAGCTCTTTAAGAAATTCCAGGGGGGTTAGAAGGCAAATATTGGATTTATACAATTTAAGCTTGCTTTTCTTTCATTCTTTCGTTCTTTACTTTGTTTTTCTCTCCAAACTGCTTTGACACCTTCCACTGCCACATCTGCCTTTCTGTCCTTGACACACATGCACAGTAGTG